TAACTCCCGGTACCTCAGGATGTGACTATATTTGGAGACGGGGCCTTTAAAGATGTAATTAAGACCGGGCCGGTGGCTCACACCTGTAATCCTAGCACTCTGGGAGGCCGAGGAGGGCGAATCGCTCAAGGTCAGGAGTTTGAAACCAGCCTGAGCAAGTATGAAATCCCCGTCTCTACTAAAAATAGAAATTAGCCAAACAACTAAAATATATAGACAAAACTAGCCGGGCATGGTGGCGCATGCCTGTAGTCCCAGCTACTCGGGAGGCTGAGGCAGGAGGAGGATCACTTGAGCCCAGGAGTCTGAGGTTGCTGTGAGCTAGGCTGACGCCACGGCACTCACTCTAGCCTGGGCAACGGAGTGAGACTCTGTCTCATTAAAAAAAAAAAAAAAAAAAAAAAAAAAAGAGGTAGTTAAGGGTGAACGAGGTCCTATGTGTGGGCCCTAATCCTGTATCACGGCTGCTCTTGTAAGAAGAGGAGACCGGGACACAGACACACACCGAGGGACGACCGCGTGAGGACACAGCGGGAAGACGGCGGCCCCCGCCCAGGACAGAGGCCTCGGGAGGAACCCACCCTGCCGGCGCCTGGACCTCACACTTCCAGCCTCCAAACCCGTGAGGAAATAAATGCCCGCCGTTGGCGCCGCCCCATGGGCGGGGCTTAGTTACGGCGGCCCGAGAGGACCAACACACCTAAACTTCAAACGTGCCGGGACCAAAGCCCAGCAGCCGTTCTCCCGCCCACTCGCAACCAGCAATGTGTCCTCAGCATCTTAACATCTCATGCAAACACTGGGACACGCATCATGTCATCTCCCCTTCTCACCCCAGCTTCCAGGCTCCTCCAGCGCCCAGTCGAGGGCTTTCCTGTCGTCGAATGGGCTGAGCCGCTGCAGGCCTCGCTGTGCTGGTCGCCGTTCTTGGCACAGCCCCCGTCCCCCAGCCCGGCTTCCTGAGGGTTAGGGCCCCTCTGGTTCTCGCATCCCCCAGCACGCACTCGGCCGGATACTCCGGGTAGTAAAACCTGCACTTGCCAAGGCAGCCATGGCCGCTTGCATTGACATGGCGTTCACCCACGTCTGCCCTTGGAGCCCAGCTCTTACTGGCCACGAGCATTCAGCTCACCCTCCCCAGCTGGAAAGCCCACCCAGAGTGTGGCGCAAAGTTGTGGAGAACTGCGTGTGTGTCTCTATTTTTAAAATCCATTTATGTTCTGACCTGAAGGTGTTTTAAAATGTGAAGAGGGTTTGCCCTCTTGGAAAATAAGAAACAGCTGTTCCAGGGGGAACCCTGCTAACGTGGTTACTAGGGAGACCAATGGGCTGTAGGTGTCGTAATTAATCAGTTAATTCCAAGCAACCAAATACCTGGTGGGGGAGGCTCTTTCCTTTGAGAGGGGAAAATTGCAAGGCGGGTGGAGGTGCGTGGAGCTCGCGTTGGGGCACAGCTACGGCTGTCTCCTTCCCCTCGCACTCTCTCTGCTGAGATCTTCTGATGAGGGGTTTTAAAGAGCTTTCTTCTCCACCTGCCTCAAAACTCACCTGTCAAGCAGACTGGAGTCTAATGCTTGCAGTCCCCCTGGATTGGGCCTCTCTAACTCGAGAGGATGACAAGCTGGTGTAGGCAGGAGTGAACTTCCACCGCCTCAAAAGCAGTAGAAATAAGATGTCATGACCTTTCCTCTCCAACTATTTTATTTTATATATATACACTTTATTATATATTTATATATTACATTATATTTATTTTATATATTATATATATTATTTATATGTTTTACATAATTATATATTATTTTATTATAAATATAAAATAATATACTAATTTATATTATTTACATTATATTTTAATAATTATATTTTATATGTTATATAAAACATATATATATATTTTAGAGACAAGGTCTTGCTCTAATGCCCAGGCTGGAGTGCCGGGACCCAATCATAACTCTCTGCAGCCTCGAACTCCTACCCTCAAGTGATCCTCCCACCTCAGCCTCCCAAAGCGCTGGGATTACAGGCATGAGCCACCACACTTGACCCCTACAACTATTTTAATAAATGTATCTTGCCAATCAGAAAAGCAGGGGGCAGCTTTCTGCTCCATGACCAGTCACTGCACCTGGGGGAAGCCCGCGGCCCTCAGCGACAAAGTGCCCAGGAAAATGCCTTTAAGCAACCACAGACATAGCCTAGTCCGCACCCTTCCTAGTTTGCTTGTGCTTTTCTGAAAGGCAAAGTCTATACCCTCTCGACAGTGGTCTTAAACTCCCCTCCCTGGCTTCACCCTGCCCTCCCGCTCTGCTTCGCACCGAAGACTGCCTGACACAACACCCACCTTCATCCGACCCACAGAAAATGTCCAGGTCGTTGGGTTCAACCCTCCTACTTGGTAAATGAGGACAGAAAAGTTCAGAGAGGCAAAGTGACTTTTCTCTCTAGCTTTTTCTTTCCCTCCACTGCAAGCATTTAGCTACCTGAACATTCTGGGGATGAGTTGGTGTTCAAAGGCAGGTACATCATTTAAGATGATTTTCCTCTGAATATAACTGAAAATCCAAATAAATGGCTTAAACAAAACATGGAGGGTTAAAGGTTTCAATGGCTCCAATGAATGGCCTCAGTATAGCTGCCGTCTTTTGTCCTGTAACATGGTAGTCTCTACCCAGCCTGGCTCTGGACAGCCTTGTGACTGGCTTTAGCCAATAAATGTAGCAAAAGCAGTGAAGTTGCCAGCACCACACTTAGACCTCAACAGTTTCTACATGCTTGTGCTTGTTCCATTGCTAGATTGTTTTTGCTTGTGATCACACCTCAGCCTTGCCTCGAGACCATGCCAGGTTAACATGCTGGAGGGATTTTGGAGGCACATGAAGGATAAGACACAAGGAGGAAAACCAAGGGCCCCAGCTGACAGCCGGCCAACCTTCTGAGACAGAGCTGCAGCTGACTGCAGATGCATGAGAGAGTCAAGCTAAGACCAACCAGAAGAACTGCCCTGCTGAGCCTAGCCTAAATTCCCAGTCTGCAGAATAAGGAACCAAATAAGTGGTTGGTTGTTTTAACCCTCTCTCTTTGGTGTCACTTGTTATGCAGCAACAAGTAATTGAATGTTTGACCGACATTTGAAACAAAGGTTTGGGTTTTTTTCTTTTAAGAAGGAAAAAAAGGTAGAAGGTTGGAAGTCCACGATCGATATGGCAGCTCCATAGTCAGGGGGGACCCAGAATCCTTCTATCTTTATGCTCCATCACCTTTAGCCCATGACTTCCATCCTTAAAGTTGTCTCATGATTCAAAATAGCTGCTAGAGCTCCAGCCATCACATTTGTGTTCCAGGCAGGAAGGAAGGAGAGCAAAAGAAAGAGGAGAAGCCTTTAGCTGAGTTGATCCCTTTAAAAGAGCTTTCCTGGAAGCCTCGCCTAAGAACCTATAGCTTGATTCCCATTAGCTACCCTTGACCACAACAAGACTGGGAAATGTAGTGTTTTAGCTGCGCACACTGCTGCCTAGAATAAAATCGAGGGCATATTTAGTAAGGAAGGACAGGGGAATGGGTATTGGGTAGGCAGCCAGCAGTATCTGCCACAGCACATGTGACATCAGGCTCCGGGCCTGGGACACAAAGTACAGCAGGATGCAAAAGTGACCCCAAGCCCTGCCGTGACCGTGCTGGTTTCCCGGAGTCCACGGCGGTGGCTTTGACAGTAACACGGTGTAAGGTTTGGGTGACGACATCTAAGTGAGGAACTATGAATGTGTTGATCTCTTGGATCCTTCTGCTGGCTGTGGACACAGGTGAAAAGGAAATTTTATTCCAGAACTTACTGCTCTTAACCTGGGCAGATGCTTTCCTTCTTTCTTTCTTTTTTATCTATCTTCTGTTTATTGAGAAATAATTCCCACAACATAACATCCATCATTATATTCCCCACGTTGTGCTCCCATCACCGTGATGTGATGCCAGGACATTTCCACCGCCCCAGAAAGAAACCCAATACCATCAGCAGTCGGAGCAGACGCCTCCCTCAATCCTTCTCCGCCCCGGCCGGTCACAAGAGCGCCAGGCTCACCACGTGAGTGACGCTTCAGCTCCTTGGATGACAGGCTCAAACCCCGAGATTCTGGAATATTTTAGATCCTCTTGGGAAAACCGAGGACAGAGTCACAATGGACTCATCTAGGGCAAGGGAAGGAGGCGTCCCCGAGCTACCCTCCTGAAGCCCACTCCCACCTGAGCCCCAGAAGGAGGGCGGTCCCTCAGTGAGGGACAGGGCATCTCAGCAGCTTCCCAGCCCCCAGGGTGCGTGGTGGTGACACCCTAAGGTGCAGAAAGAGCTTTAAGAGCTCTCTGATGTGACAGTGGACACTAACATGGGATTTCTAGGTGCAGGTGGGACTAATTACTGCAAAAGGGGGGCGGGGACGGGAGAATGCATGGCGACCATTCACGAGAGGCCTCGTGTGCCCAGATGTGAGCAGAATCTCCTTTTTCTACTCCCAACCGGCCCGGGAGCCAGGCCACCCGTGTGACAGGAGAACCTGCGATTCACAAAGACAAGTGCCTGGCTCTGACGGCACCGCCGGGATTTCAGACACTTCAGCCTGAATGTCAAGTCTCAGCGTTTTACGCTGCGCTGCGCTGTAGGCACCTGTGGAGAGACGCCTCCAGGCCTGGCCCGTGGCAGGTAGAGCCGCCCCCTCGAGTGGCCTGGCTGGGGACAGTGACATTAGGAGGGGCTCGGCTCAGCTCGGCTCTCTGGGCTTCTCCGTGCGTGCGGTGGGAGCCTGGCGTGAGCCTCCCCTGCCTCCTGCCTGCTTCCTATTCTTCACTCCTCAGGCAAAAAGGTTGCTCCAGGAGACTCCAGGATTGGGGGTCTGCCTCGTCACTGTCACCGGGAGGCCCTTTCCCCCCGACTGACTTGCCGGAGCTCCCCGTCAGCCCTCGCAGAGCCTCTGGAAGCAGCGGGAAGCAGCTGTGCCTCCTGGCTGAACAGGGTCCAGGTAAAGCAGGCTGGAGGATGGATTGATGGGGAGGTCGGGATGTCACAGGTCCGATCGCAGCGCCAGGGGGAGGGGACCGGCCAGGAGGGCTAGTAGGTGCTGCTGTTTGGTTGATTAAGGGGGTCAGCGTGTGTATGTGTCATCGAGGTGGGCAGGGACGGGGAGGGCTGTGCGTGGGGGAGGATATATAGGCTGGCGTGGCTGGTACGGCGGCACCGAGCCTCACATCCATCTGAGGGAGCCCAGCGACTGACAGCTCTCAGGTAGGCGACCCACCGCTCGCCCGACCCCAGCCCCGACCGAGGCCACCAGCAGCACGGAGCCTCGGAGGGCAGGGCGGCCAGGGGCTGGCTGCGGCTCAGCCGCTCCTTTGTGCAGCGTGCGCGCTGCTGGCCCCCCCGGGATGATTTCTTCATTCATCTTATTTGCAGCACTCAGAGGGGGAGGGTTGAGCGTTTTTTGTTGTGTGTGTGTGTGTGGTTTTTTTTTTTGTTTTTTTTTTGTAACCTCAAGGAGAGATGCAGAAGAAGAAAGAGCTGAACTTGGAAATGAGGAAAAGTTTTGCTTCCCCAGTTGTCGCCCCTACTTTGTGGCAGCCCTCTGTGGGCGGGAGGTGGCCGTGGGAGGTCAGGGGAGGGGCAGGCCCTTGGGAAGGGACTTGCCTTCCAGGGTGGCCCCGGGAAGCCCCTGGTCCTCCCGTGACGGTTTTCTCCCTCTGTGGCATCCTGCCCTTCCCCGATGTGCCGTGTGGGCTGGCACTGAACTTGATGCCGTGTGCATGTGAGTTTCTAATCCAGAGGGAACCTCCCCCCGCCCCCCCCCTTATGTCCTGAATAGAAATTGCTGCTAACGACGTGGGGAAGGGCCAGCCTCGGCTGAGCGCGGCCGCTGCGTGTGCATCCCCGAGAGCATTTCTGCGGGCACGACCTTGGTCTCCCAGACCCTGAGTCATTTTGAGGTCTCCTCCTCTCTTGCTGTGAGTCTCTCTGCCGCGCCCGTCGCCCCCACCTAACGGTCTCTGCCCAGGTCCTGCGAAATACTCCGTTCACAAGTCACAGCGTCCAAAGTCTGGCGGCTCCCCGGCTCCTTCCCCGTCTCCTCCTCCCTTTGTGCGTCCCCTTGCCTGCGACTCTCCCTCCCCTCCTCCCAGCTCACTCTGAACCCGGGCAAGTTCTGGGGGGAATTTCAAGCAAGGCAGGATGATTGGGGGAAATGGACTATTTAAAGCAAGCTGCTTTGGACTCGAATACCCTGATCCTGGGCTTAAACATCTGTGTTTAGCTTCCTCAAGCAGCCCATAATTGCCCCAATTATAACCAATAACATTGTTCGGCAGACTAACAAAAGATGAGCTTCGCACGGCGTTTCGCCAGCAAGCCCGAACCCGAGTTTTCAACATAGAGGGGGAAAAGTAACTGCTTGGCTTCTTATCAAAACCTCGCAAACAAAACGCTGCTCCGTCTCGCTGCCTGTGGGTGGCTGCTGCCTGTGCCCCCTCTTCTTTTGCTCATTTATAAAGCGTACAGGGAAATATTCTACCAGCTTCCCCTGATGCTGTGATCCCTTGAACAAAAAGGATGAGTGTTCCTTTGGGCTTGCTGAGTCTTCTGCGGGGAGGGTCCCTGGGAAGACTGTCCCCAGCCACCACCTTAATACAAGGAGCAGCTTCCACCTTTCTGTGTTGCTTGGGCTGCCTGTGGGGGGCGCTAGGGTACAGCCTAGGGGCGTTTGGGGGGGGGAACCCATTGTGTTTTCCGTGGGGCAGCAGCCCCTGCTTATCAGCTGAAGGCTGAGGGTACTTAGAGATTTAGAACATGCAAGAGATTTTGCATTGTCAATGAAGGGAGTAATCGCAGGATTAGGCTCCAACCCGTGTGCTCCCCCGAGCCTGTGGCAGGAGCTGTCACCAAGCTATTCCATATCCAATCAATCAGGTATTTATCGTCTACACTCCGCCAGGCGGGGCGGCGTGCAGGGGCTCCAGCAGATTCCACGGAGGTGATAATAACAGCACTTTACATCTGTACAACGATTTAGGCGCTTTCACACCCATTATCCCCGGAGGTGACAGCCCCGCCGGGTGGTGTCATTATCTCCGTGTTGCAGTTGGGGAGACTGAAGCTGAGATTAAATGATTTATTCTGTGCATGGCGGGGACAGGACTGAGCAGAGCCACGCCGGCTCCAGCCCCTCTCCCCACATATAAACTAATCGTGGGTGGGGGTCGGAGGGGGAGACGCGACACAGGCACGCGTGAAAGAGTCGGGACCTCGCAAGGCTGGGCGTAATTAAGTCCTAAATTGCATGGTCCAGAGAGCGAGTGCTGGAGGAATTCGGGGAGGGAGTGCTTCCCCCAGGCATCCTGGAGAGTCTGCCCGGTGGGGAAGTGGGTGGGATTTGGATGGTCACAGGCGTTGAAAGCAGAGGCGGCAGCTGGGACAAAAGCGAGGCAAAGGAATTAACATTTCTTGAAACCTACTATGCACCAGGCAGTGAGCTAAACTTGCCTACATGCTTATTTCATGCTAAGCCACACACGTGCACACACACAAAGACACGCTCCAGTAGGGCTGTGAAGTTTCCGGCGAGCGTTCTGCACTTGCTCGCACGCGGTTCGGTAATCTCTCACACCCCGGCTCCGCAGCTCCCAAAGCCCACAAAGAAACCTTTGAGATCTCATGTGCTCTGGGGTCTGGGTGGAGCTGCTCATCAGCGATCTTAGGGATGGGATGAGCCCTTCTCAGAGAACAGGAGTCACCTTGGCAATAGCTTGCAGCGGCTTGGATTGCTGGGAACGCATTAGGCAAACCGGGTGTTCTAAAGGCTTTTATTTAAATACCTACAGTTATTCCCACTGTCTAACAGAAGGGTTTCCTTCTAACCACAAACTCATCGTGAGATTTGGGGCACACCAATTGGGGGGGGGGCAAGCCAGTTTTCTGAGTATCTCCCTGGCTAAGCTACAATCACTTTCAGTCTCGACTTTCAATGATCTTGTGGGGTTTTTTCAAAATACCGGCAAGCGGCTGCTTCGGCCAGCCGCGTTGCAGAAGCACAAAATCGCCAGCTGCTGAGGGCCTAGCCTGGCGGGTGTAGCCCAGAGCTCGCCTCCCTGCACGCCCCGGCTCTGCCCTCCCACCACGGCTCAGAGCCACCCTCCCCCTTCCCACACCCCCACGCCCCATTCATCCTTCCATTCATTCAGCCAAAAAACTCTCCCGGAGTCCCTGATGGGAGCCGCACAGAGCGAGTGCAGGGACACAGAGCTGCAGGTCCCCGGCCTCCTCCAGACTCACCGTCAACGTTAACGAGCCCAGGCCAGGGGTCTCGCCACAAGGGGCAAGCCTGCCCGATGACCCACTGGGCTTCCGGAAATTAAGACTTTTAAAAAAAAATCTTAGCTTTATAAATGTGCACTTAGGTAGGCTTTATAATGTATATAACTTATAAATACATTGGGAATGTATGCTCAAAGCAGAGTGCTAGAGGTACAAAGTTAAAGACATCTGAAGATTCCACTCTTTTTCAAAAGAACATTGAGTAATTTTGTTATAAAAGGAAATAAAAGCCTTTTTTTGAGACAGGGGTCTTGCTATGTTGCCCAAGCTGGTCTGGAACTCCTGGGCTCAGGTGATCCTCCCCCCTCAGCTTCTGCAGTAGCTGGGGTTACAGGCATGCGCCACCATACCGAGTTAAGAGTAAATAGAAGCTTTTAGAAATCCATCTGAATTATTTTGACCGTATACATGTGAGCATAGGCCAGCACCAGGAAGATGACAATGACCAGTGCTGCCTTCCAACATGGCAGCGCCCTTAAGGAACATGTGACCTTCGCCCCCTCCTGTGCTGCCCTGAAGCTGCTTCCTCGTGAAGTCCCCTTCTCCTCTCCCTCTTCCCTCCTTCCTTCCGTCCCCTTACCTGGCGAGGACAAACAACGGGCCATTCATAAAGTCAAAGAATATTACCCATCTAATCCAACTGCCTCTTTTCACAGAAGGAGAAACTGAGGCCAGGGGAGGGAAGGACCTTGCTTAAAACCCCACAGGTAACAACAGCAGGGGCAGATCTAGAACCCAGGACTCTTGTTTCTGAGCTTGGGGCTCTGGCTCATTCATTGCCCCCCCAGCCTGGGGAGTACTTGGCCCCTGCAGGGTGGGGCAGCTGTTCTGTCCTGCACCCCCTCTATGCCATTCCCCTCTTTCCAGGTGGAAATGGAGGGCGGAAGAGAGACATTTGTAAGTGTAAGTGGATCAGACAGAAGAGGAAAAGAAACTAAAAAGGCCTCCCTCGGTATTAGCTGGCGAACAAGCACAAGCTCCGTGTAGGAGTCTTATCTGCAATGGGTCAAAGAAATGGGGCACATGGGAGACCCCCACTTCCTTCCGAAGGGTGTGCAGCTGGTGGGCCTGGAAGGTTCCTCTACGCACTGGGAAGAGCCAACAATAAAGAGGCTGCCGTCAGAGAAGGGAGCCCAGCGTTCAGGACGGCAGGAGGTTATTAGAATGGGTTCACCTGCTCCCAGACAGAGAGCCGCAGGGATCATGGAGAGGTGTGGTCAGAGCAGGAGTCTCAGCTCTGCCAACTTCATGTCTCCCCTTCAAGCCTCAGTCTGCTCAACCGTAAAATGGGGACAATATTAGTAGCACTTACCCCATAAGGCAGATGCTTATAAAGCAGTTAGCACAGTGCCGGCACGTAGCACCCTAAATGTCACAGCAATATGATTACTATTAAATACATGTAGATTCTGTCCCAGCGAGATTCCACCCGAATTTGTCAACCTTCCCAAAGCAGAGATAGTGTATGGAGCTAATGGTTTCCCAGAACTCACGATTTGGAGTCAAAACACCTGAGTTGAAGTCCTGGGTCTGCTATTTATCACCTGGCTGATCCTAGGCAAGTTGCTTAACCTCTATGAGTTTATGGTTCACCTAAAAAGGTGGCTTAATACTAGCGCCAGACTATAGGGTTGTATATCAATATAAAAATATTCTGTAATCTGCAAAGAACAATGTTTTCTATACATGTGGTTGATGCAAAGGGTGGGGTCCATCTACCTCTAGCAAAAGAGCTGTGCCCTCTTCCCTTCCCTGCTAGAAGCACGAAAATCACAGGCTTTCTCGTAGGTCATAAACAAAACTCAATTAGGGTTTAGGCTCAGCTGAAGCTGCATACGAAACCCTCCAAATAGACAAGCAACTAATTATATTGCCCTGGGAAACAAGATTACACACAAATAGATTAAGGCCAAACCATAGTGGTA